GTGCTCCGCCTCTCACTGCAGCATCTTCCTGTTGATCTGAAGAAACAAGAAGAAGAAGAACGACTGACTGAAGTCCATCAGCAACATTATAAACCTTCCACAAGCTTCATAAAGCAATCTAACTAGAACTGAAGAGAGTTGTATTGATTATATGGAGAGGAGCTGCAGTTCAGACACTTACTGATGGATTCTCATGTTTAGGATCAAGAGTCTTCAGGAGGTCTGGGACGAACGGTCTGTGTGGAAGACAGCGAGAGATCGGTCATGTGATCATCTGTGATGATGATCTGACTTTGACGTCTCACTTACTGTGAGTGTGTCGTACAGGTCAGAGGTCGTGGACTTGAGCTCAAGAGCTGTATATGTGTCTTCACTGGGATCAGACATCTACAGCGACAGAGAAAGAAAATAGGAGCACGTAATATAAGCAAGAATGTATAGCACAGTATTAAATATAGGCTATTGTTTTGGGGAAAATGGACTTGTCAGACTGATTCAAACCAATAAATCTTGAGCTCATCGGGCTTTTAGTGATTCATTAAGACTCGGCTGCTCATGTTTTATGTTTGTTTTGTGTTCAGGTTTTGAGAAGAGTTCAACAAGTTTAAACAAACATTCCAATGTAAATAAGTGTTTTTATATTTTTAATTTTAATTTCTTAAATCATATGTCACGCCACCTGAGGATGCTGCAGATACAGTTTCAGAAAGCACTCGGCTAAAATGAGAGAAATATGAGTTTTTAAAGGTTTTTCTGCTGGATTCTGTTGCTAAAAGACTTTTTAGTTTCTCATCATTCTGTACAGTTACAGTCTGAAACACACATAACAGCTGATCGACTGATTTTCTGCTTCTGTAAAGTTTGAAAGTTTTACCTGTTTCACTGTGTTATCTTCAGTTTTAACACAGCTTTGTTTCCTCCTGTTAAAACGACATTAACAACATATGGACGAAAGTATTAAATTAATAGAAAATATGAATGTTTTAAAAGATTACTAATAATCACACACAGCCGATCCATTTCCTTCTGTTACACCAAAATGAACTTATACAATATAAAAGTGCATTTATGAAGTCAATGCAGAACTCACATTATAAACCATATGATGATGATGATGATGATGATGATGATGATGATGATGAATACTCCTCCAGATGTTGCTGCGATCACAATCACGTTCCTATCAGCACCAGGATGAACTGAAAGATGAAGATCATCATAATTAACACACTGATGAATGATGTGAAGATACAGGAGTGTGCAGGGGCGCGGGAAGATGCTTTCGGTTGGGGGTGCTGTGTGCATGTTGGGGGGGCGCTAGCATCATGTGTTCATATAGAAAACATAACAATCAACATAGTATTAAAAACCTCTTATACATTTAAAAAATTACTAATGTGAGCTGAAATGATAAAAGCCATCTAATAAACTCACACATGACGTTTAAAGTCACAGCAGCAGAGTATTTCTCTCCATGTTCATTTCTGGACTTGCACTTGTATTCTTCACTGTGATCAGAGCTGATGTTTGAGATGCTGTAGATTCTTCCAGATCCTACAAGAGTTCTTCCTTTATGCCAGCTGATTTCTGCAGGAGGGTTTGCATCACTGCTGCAGCTCAGAGTCACTGAATCTCCCTCCACTATTTCTCCAGATGGACTGATGGACACTGAGACACTTCTTGGTCGGTCTAAAAAAATACAAGACATTAACAAAGTAAATTTGACATCACACAAATGAGACTTATAAGTCAGAGATTGATGAAATTCCATCAATTTTGTAACCAGATGGACTGATGGAGATCACAGGATTCACTGGACGTAGCAGTGCTGGCTGGTGGACACTTTTCTAGATAGGGCTGATGTAACATAAAATAATCTCTAGTTTGTTTTGCATTGCTTTTAATATACTTTGTATGTTGAAAGTTGAGTTAGGTTCGCAATATTTCTCTTCTGCATGTGGGACTTTTATTTTGAATCTGAATCTGCATTCACAGCTAAAGGGGTAATGGCAAAAAGATACAGGAACTAACGCTTCATCACGGCTTGCCAGAACTCTTTCACGGAAAGACTGTTTATATGTTTGTTCAGCACCCCCCAAAAAAGCTGACTACTGTTAGTTATAATAAGTATTTTGTGAAATGTGTTATAATAATGTTATAGTATGTTATAATAATGCAGTAGAGAGAATCTGTGGACTAGGCTTTAATGCACATTTGTTGTACTTTGTTTTATTCAACTCTTACATTGGTTTTCTTGGAGTAAACGGACACTAATAAAACTTCATAAAAATCATCAGTAAAGCTTTGGTCCTTATTCAGTCAGGGGGAAAAAAATATTAAGACTACATTTGGACAGGTTTGAAATGTTTGAAATGCAGATAAATGTTTTACCAAATTCTGAAGTTTGAGGAGGATTCTCACAAAACTGTATTTTTCGCAAGCTTTTTTCAAGGTAAATTAAAAATAATTTTTACTTTTCTTAAATTGCAATGTATGTACACACTGCAACAGCAAAAACTATGAGGGAAAATAATTGTTACACTTGTTTAAAGTGTCTAAAATGCTTAAAGTGCAATTTAGCTTGTTGTGTTCATATTCTGGGCTCTTCTGCTTGTCTGGAAAGTATGCTTTGATAATAAGATGAGGACAGAATGTGGCCCTCCAATATCACTGTTTTAGTATATTAGGCTTCATTATTTCATGTTTAGTTTAGCGTTTAGCGTTTTATATTGTCCCAAATCCGTGCCTTCTGAAATGTGTTTGTGTTTTTACTTTGATTACAATCATCATACATCAAAACTTTACTTGCGAGATATGTTTGCTTTATCCAGTCCTAGTTCTGACTTTACTTTTTTGGATTTGATTCAGGGCGGGCGTTGCTCTAGACCCTCTTTTGGCCAGCTGCCACTGGTATTTATGGTTTATTCATTATTTACATATATACATAATTGATATGCATTTTTATTCATTGACAAAGCACTGGATTTGTGAAAGTGACCTTTCCTGTTTCCTTCTCAGCCTTAGAAAGTTTCTCTTATGTTTTAGAGACACAACATTTACATCTGGTTTTGTGTCAGAATAATGGTTTTAGTAAAAGGACAAGAGCTTCCAAAAAAACTACTAACCATTTATCAGAGATACAGTGGGGCAAAAAAGTATTTAGTCAGCCACCAATTGTGCAAGTTCTCCCACTTAAAAAGATGAGAGAGGCCTGTAATTTTCATCATAGGTATACCTCAACTATGAGAGACAAAATGAGAAAAAAAATCCAGAAAATCACATTGTAGGATTTTTAAAGAATTAATTGGTAAATTCCTCGGTAAAATAAGTATTTGGTCACCTACAAACAAGCAAGATTTCTGGCTCTCACAGACCTGTAACTTCTTCTTTAAGAGGCTCCTCTGTCCTCCACTCGTTACCTGTATTAATGGCATCTGTTTGAACTCGTTATCAGTATAAAAGACACCTGTCCACAACCTCAAACAGTCACACTCCAAACTCCACCATGGCCAAGACCAAAGAGCTGTCAAAGGACACCAGAAACAAAATTGTAGACCTGCACCAGGCT